AATGACTTCCAAGATAAAGTGTACAGCAAAAAAGGAAAATATCAACAATGCACCTAACATGCTACCTTGTATGCAATAAAGAAAAAATCATTTTCATGCAAGTATTTTGCATAAAAGTTCATAGCTGCTTCACTCATCCAAAAAACCAGACTCAGCACAAATGTTCATCAACAGATAAAATGGAATCTATGGTTTAAATATGTTCTCTACAAAATATAAATGTTTCCCACATGATGATATTATGACATGGGGCATCCAAGAGGTGACAAGCCATCAGCACTCCTCCCAGAGCTAATGGGGTTGGGGTCCTTGTTTTAAAAAGTCTTTATGCAGAATTAAGTAAGTACACCTTTCTACCTTCTGCCACCTGAGGCCTAGACAACGGAATCTGCTGGTACATTGATCTTGCACTTACCAGCCTCCAGAACTTTAAGAAACAAATTTCTCTTATTTACAAATGTGTGAACCATACAGGACTTCATCAAGTACTGTTTATAGATTTTAAAAGAAAAACTCACCAACTGCAAAGCAGTGTCACAAAAAACACTGTACATGATGGGAATGCTAGATTGCGTCCAAGAAAATTGATGGAGGAGACAATGTTTTTAAATAAGTAAGGCAGTCTGGGAAGCACTGCCATGTGTGAACCCCTGCCAGACTGGAACAGCCAGACCCCAGCCCCTTCTGGCATGCAGGCTGGCAAACAAAAATAGCATACCCCACGACCTCACCAAGTCGACACACCCCACCACTCCCTCCATAAGCGACCGTCTTATCAGGAGAAACACAGGCTGTGATGATAGCTATGGAGGTGAAACACAACTGGATGCCTGTGGTGCTTTGGTGTCTCACTAACATTGCAGATCTAGTGCCAGTGGTCTGACTATGGGTTCAGAGGATAGTGGTACACAGTGTGGCATCTAGCAGGGGGCATCTCCTTCTGAAGGTTGCAGCCATTGTTGATTCCCTATGATCTTGTTTTGAAGTCCTATATCATTTCAATTTTTTTGTTGGGTCGGGTTTTATTCTCTTTTGTTTTGTTTATGTCAAATCCGATTGCAGGAGCATCTATTTCAAAGATAACAAGATACATTATGGTAGCAACTTTGGATTTACTATTGCCTTGTTTTGAAGTCCTTTATTACATTCATTGTTTCCTTTTATTGTTTCTATTCTATTCTGTTCTGTTTGATTTTTACTATGTCCAAAGTTATCTGCAGCTATTTTGAAGACATCAAAAGGCATTATGGTAACAATTGTTGATTTTATAATGTTGTTAGGCCTGTATCTCTTATGCTGGTTTTATTCTGTTTTATCCTTTTTAAAATAAAAAAATTAAATAAATAAGGCATGATCGTAATACAAAGAAAAAAAAAAGTAAGCAGTGCAAAATACACAATCCTGTGTCCTTATTTCCTTCCCCAAAGATAACCTCGTGATCAGGTTTCTTGGTATCCTTTTAGAGACAGAATTTTCTTTTCATTTTGAAAAAAGGAAAGAAGAAAAAAATGGAGGCAAAGATGGAAGGGAAGGAATGAAAGAAAAGGAAGAGAGGGAATAGAAAGCAATTCCATATAAATGAAGGTTTAAGCACAAAAAACGGTCAAGAAATATGTACCCCCAAAAACCAAGCTCTTAACTGTGGTTACCTCAAAGAATAATTGATAGACTTCATTTTTTAATGTACTTCGGTACTATTTGTCTTGGCTCAACAAAAATATACTACTTTTGTGATTTGTAAATTTCCATAATAATAAAGAATAAAAGAAAAATTAGTAGAGAAACATCAAATAGTATAAATATAACAAGATAAATTATAAAATGAAAGTGATTTGATATTGCAAAATGGCCATGCAACCAAATGAAACAGTCCAATGTTAGAACTAGATCTGAAAATATAATGAGGTTCTTGGGGTGAAATGTATTGGAGAGAATGTCACCACTATAATTCGATGTTGGAAATTGTAACAGACGAATTGCTATAAGATACTGTGAAATATACAAAAGCATGAAATAAAAGTAAAATGTTCTGGATGCACAACAGTCATATTCAAATACGTATTTATTACGATATCTCATTAGCTGAACTAAAAGCATTCATAGGTCTGCTGTACTTAGCAGGGATTTCTCATGATAACTGCAGGAATATAAAAGACATAAAAAAGCAATACTTCAAAATATGGCATAAAAATTTATGAACTTTGCATAAGATGCAAAGCCATTATGCTTCCAATTTAGAAATTTGTCCTGGAACTCAGCCATACGATCTTTATTTGTATAACAGTAAGCTGAATGATGTTGTGAACAGACTTGTTGCTCTCATCTCCCAAACTAATCAGAATGTGACATTCAATGATTGGTTTACCAGTTTCTAATTGATGTTACATTTGCTAGCAGAGCACATGTTGACCAGTACAGGAACTGTATGCAAGAACAAAGCAGAAATTCCAAGTGAAATGTTGCAATTTCAAAACAGAGATATGTATGTATGGCAAAGAAAAGCAAACTGGTACCGCTGGTGTCAACATTGCACTATGATGGAAATACTGATAGAGAAACATTGACAAAATGAAAGCCTGAGATAGAAAGTTTTTACAACAAAACCAAAGGCAAAGTTGTTGATGAGTTACACAGCAACTATTCACTCAAAACACAAAGCATTAGTCAATGTGTTCGATAAATAGTTTAATAGCTTATAAAGAAAATAACAAGTGCAAAAATCACAGAGAAATTTTCTTAGAGGATTTGGGCTGAAACTCATAAAAGATAATTTATAGCAGAGCAAAAAACAAAATGTTTCTGCTCAGAGAACTACACACAAAAAAAATGTGGACCACACTGGTGAGCTGATAGGTGAACGGCAAGTGTAGCATCCCAAAGATCTATGACAACAGGGAAACTAAAAAGATGTCAAATGTGCACTACAAGAAAGGACAAGAAAACAAAATATATGTGTTATCAGTGTAAGTGATACTTGTGTATGGAACATGCAATTTTCATATGTGAAGACTGCTTTGGCTGTGACAATTGAATCAAACATTATTTCTGTGGTAGACTTTTGTTTGTGTTTGCATTGTAGTTCACATAGATTTTTATTTCTAATCTTATCTCTTAGATTTTGTAAGCACACAGCTGATGTGAAAATGTTGATATGTATTCTAAACACTCAGTACACATTTGATATTTTATTTTATTGATATATCATTTCCCTGCTAAGTACATGTTGCACAACATAGTAGGAAGCTTCTGACAAAACAGGAGGACTTGAGAGCTGACAAGAATGGGCTGACTCATAGGAAAGGAAAACTAAGCACGTGTTGTCAGTGTAAGCAAGACATATGCATAGAACATGCAGTTGTGTACGAAAATTGCCTTGGTTGTGACAGTTGAAGCAAAGATTATTTCTGTGGTAGAGTTTTATAGTTTATATAGGTTTTTGTTTCTGGTGTTATGTCAGGTTTTGTAAGAAAGTATACAGCTGTGAAAATGTTGATGTTTATTCTAAATGCACAGTACATACTAAGCAGTTAATACTTTATTTTATTGGCTTTTATGTTCCTGTTAACAACACATGATAAGAACCTTCTGACAAAACAGCAAGACCTGCAAGATATCAAGAACGTTCTACAAAAAGGCCAGGAAAATAAAACACTTGTGCTGTCAGTGCGGCACTTGTGTATGGAAAGCGCTGTTGTCATATGTGAAAACTGCCTTAGGTGTAATAATAGATTATTTTTTGTAGTGTGCTATTGGTATTTTCACTTACTTCATATAGGAATTTATTTCTGTTCTTTATTAGACTTTGTACACCAAAAATCATTCAATATTGAAGATTTTGATGCTTTTTTATAAATAATAAATATTAAAATGCAAGACTATATTTTTGTAATATTTTTTCATGTTAAGCACTCATGGTTTAACAATAAAACTCATAAAATTGAAACTTGTAATTCATCAATAGAAATATTCTGAAGAGTAAATATGGATTTGACACACCCATGTTTATGGGCCTTTATGACAAAAAAACATGTGCTATCTTCTGTGGGCTAATCTTTACAACGACCCTTAGGAGGAAAAAAAGTATAATCTCCATTTTATAAACGAAGCAACCACAGCACAGAGAATTTGAGACTTCCCCATTATCACTCAGTTGGAAACTACAGAGTCAAGATTCTAAAGCAGATTCCAGAGTACAGGTTCCAACTACTACACCTCCAGCCTCTCTCTCTCTAAATGAGCTACCCTCTACTAAAGGCTGTTTGTGGATTCACTGAGAGTAATATATGTAAAGCCCATTTCTTGTCAAGTGTTTGATAGCAGCTGTGGTTATGTAGCAGAAAATGTACACACACACACACACACACAGTCAGTATACTTCAGTCTGTCCAGTTCCAGTTGTTCCTGTATCTTAGAAACAGTTGGTAACTGTGATGCACAGCTGGTCACTGTGATGCATCGTATAAACCAATCCCCAATTGACAAGCCATTCTGCTTCTGTACTTCCTGCTTATTTATCCAATATAAACCCTAAACCACCAGAGATTAGGACCTGATATTCTGGGAATGATCCCGATCAGTGCCCATTGAGGAAGTAAATAAATCGTCTCCAAATCCTGGGTGTAGTTTAGGTGTTTCTGCTTGCCCTTGCAGTTCTTATAGGCTTGTCCATTCTGCACTGAAAAACCTACCAGGTCGTTTCTTTGGGCAGAAAAAGAGGTAAAGGGAAGAGGAAAAGAGTCAGGGGTGGAAGAGGGTGAGGTGGAACGTGAAGAAACAGAGCAAAGAAGAGAGGTAGAGTGATCGCTGAATATTTAGGAAGTAAGACAGACACCCTGGTGACCCATGCTGAAAATAAATGCTGGGGCTTTGCCAACTGAGGCATTAACTTAGGTACATCAATCCCAAGGCCCTCGAACCCACCTACAGCCCCCAGGACCCTGCCGGGCAGGCGTGGACTCGCCTGGCCCTCCTGCGGGTCCGCCCCACGCCGGGCGGGGCCTGGCCTATAGTCTCTGCCCTGGCCAGACCGCAAATCCCGGGCCGAGCCACGCGGTCTCTCCGGCCGGGCTGGCCGGCCTCGATGGCTACCTGGAGGCGGGACGGCCGGCTGACTGGCAGCCAGCGGCTGCTATGCGCCGGCCTGGCCGGGGCGCTCAGCCTCAGCCTCACCGCGCCCCTGGACCTCGCCACCGTGCTGGCCCAGGTCGGCGGCGCGCGAGGCCAGGCCCGGGGCCCGTGGGCCGCAGCGCTCGGGGTGTTGCGGGCCGAGGGGCCCCGGGCCCTGTGGAAGGGGAACGCGGTGGCCTGCCTGCGCCTCTTCCCCTGCAGCGCCGTACAGCTTGCCGCCTACCGCAAGTAAGAGCCTGGCGGCCCGGGGGCGGGGCGGGGCGGGGCGGGGCGGGGGTCTGCAGCTGGCCGCGTCCTTCGGGGCGCTGTGGTGGGGACGGCCCCCTTCTGGATCACGTGGGAGCTACTCCGACAACTGGGCGGCGGGGACACGCCGAGGGACCCCAAGGCGCAGTCCCAACGCTTTTCCTGTACTCTTGAGGTGCTCTTCCTGCAAGATGCCATTTTGTGGCACGCAGCCCTGACCCCTGAGAAGCTTTCCTGGCTGGACAGGGCGAGGGATTGGGAATGGAATCAAAGCAGATTTAGGGGAAAGAATGAGAGAGCTCCAGAGAGATAAGCCCTAATCACTCCAGCCTTCTATCAGCTGGTAAGGTTTTGCTTTGGCTGGCCTAGGAAAAGAGACTCTCTTGAAGATGTGTGTGTATGGGACTGTGTGATCAATACCCCAAGAAGAAAGTGCTTGGTGGCCAGGGAGGGACCCATCCACTGCCTCAAAATGGCCACAGATTTTTTCCACGCAGTCTAATTGAATCTTAAATTTGGGGTTCTACAGAGGCTCCCCCTCCCTGAGCTGGGAACAGTCCCCTCAGCCTTGTGCTTCCCCTCGCACCTGAGCTGCCCACTGGCCTCATTCTGCTGGTTTTTCCCACTTTCTCTCACATCAACAGCTGCTCTTTACAAAAAGATCTAAAGGTGTAAATACCGGACAAGGCCCTGTCTGAAAGCTTCCTCAGGGCTCATAGATAATTGCATTGGAATCAGAAAGGAAGCCTAAAGGAGAAATGGAAATGATGACATTTAAGGAAGAGGAGCAGTTTCTCTAGGAGGATAGTTCCTGTGTCCTTAATTTTATGAGCACAATGCCAACTCTGAAGAGTGACGTTGGCCCTGAAGCAGCCCACAGAATCAGAACTGGTCAGCCTTTTTGTTTCCGTTCTGTGGATGGAATCCAGGGCCTTGTACAGGCTACGCAAGGCTTCACAATTGAGCGCCTCCCTCCGCCACAAGTACTGGTCAGTTTTGACCAGATGGTTCAACTTTGGCGGCTAACAGTCAGGGGAATTTTGCCTTGATGCTGTGACTTAGGAAGTGAGAACTTGGAAGTCGCTGTCACAAAGCTAAATAAAATTACCCTTATTTGGGGTAATTTTGGGGGTTGGCGGGGTTTAGTTCAGCGGAGTAAGTGCCTGTTTGGCAAATGTGAGGTCGTGAGTTCAATTCCTGGTACCAAAAAAAAAAAAATTACCCTTATCAGACTTTTCTAGGCCAGTGATCATTTCACTTCTGCCTGGGAGAATTCTTTTCTCTTTCTTTGTGGAGGAAATCATGGATAAGATAATATGACATTTGTGTCACAGCTCTTATCCCTCTCCAGAGTGCCTTGCCCTCTGAATACCTAGCCAGCAGTCTGAATTTTAATGACTCAATTGCTCCCCACTTCACCCTCTTCTCCACAAAGTGGTAAGGAAGTCTTTCTTTGACAGGGTCGATTGTGTGCCAAGGAAGGGTAGGCAGAGCTTCAAAGGTAGATTCAATGTCTTGGTTTTCTACTAACTATCTAGTACACAGACATCATTAGATATTTACATCTCTTGCCTTCTTCCCTGTAAGGTCCATAGGACAGAAAGTATTGTGCCACCTTTTACAGATGCAGAATTGATGTGTCAGGCTCACACACCACTTGTCAGTGATAAAGCTGGGTACTACACCTGGCCTTCTGACTCCAAATCTCATGCTCTTTGATTACATCACGCTACCTTTCTCTCTGAAGGTAATTGATACTAATTTAGTTAGGATACATGAAGTACCTGCTGTGTGCATGATGCTGGTGACAATGCAAAGACGAAACAGGCAATGGTCCTTTTGCCCCTAGGAGATTACAGAGTAATAGAAGAATAAAGCTCATGTGTCCATAACCATAATACAAGTAGCATGTGGTTGCTGTGACTGAAGTGCTGTAGAAATGTACACTTCCGATAAGGGATGAGGAGAAGGTGTGACGGTGTGAAGATGTGGAGAAAAAGCTTTGGGAGTTTGGCCTTGAGAGAGTGAGTGGGAGTCTGCTGGGCAAAGATGGGAAGAAAGATACTACAGGTAAGTCAGCAAATGCACAGAGGTGGGAAGGCACGCTGCATGACTGGAAATAATACAGGAAGAACAGGTGGAATGAGATCTTGAAGGTCAGGTTAAGTAATGTAGACTTGATATGCAAAGGAAGTTACGGAAGACTTTTTTTTTTCAGCGTGGGAGGTGGTACTTTGATGAAAGCATGGAATGATTGCTACTTGGTAGTAGGAGAAGAAGAAGGTTGGGCATGGCAGGACCAGCTGGAACTTGTTTGTTATAATCCACATGGTAGTTGGAGGAACCTGAAATAGGCTGGTGACAGTAGGTGAAAGATGAGAGAAGAACAGAGTTACACGGGCTAGGTGTGCTGATAGCTTTTCCTGCATAGCTTTCTAAAAACTGAGAAGTATTTCAGTGAATGGCAAAGCAGTTAGAAAGCGTAGTGGTTGATTAATTGTGATGCCATCCTTCCTACAGAAATGCCAATTTTAGTTCATCATTGTACTCTTCCTGATTTATTTCTACTGTTTCCTTAGACTTGAACAAAACACAAAATCCAATATGTTTAAGGAATAGAGTATTTAAATGACTTGTCTACATACACAATACCAGAGCTGGAACTTGAAACCAGGTCTTCTAGTTCCACAGTCCAAGGCTCTGATGAAGTGTCTGTTTACTTGGATTCAAGATCAAAAAGTCCACTCAGTAGAGTCTATTGTGAGCAAGGTTCTTGTAAATAAATAATAGCAAACACAATTGATAGCTTTCAAATAGATCAGATCAGATCGAGGAATCTCCCTCAAGTATATTTCACAAATGTTTGTCTATCTGTGTAAACACTGGTTTGTGTCCCTGCAGTTCTGAAATTGCTCAGAACAAGGACTAATTCCTTGCTACATAACCACTTCATGAGCTAATGTTTGGCTGCACTGACTGCTACCTTATTTTGGGTTGAAGTGTTAGCAATTCTAATCACAAGTATCCAGCGTGTGTGTAATATTTGTGCTTGCTGAAAGGAAGGGGTTACTCAATTCATCAGCTTTTCTAGTCTGCCTGAAAAAAGCTTCTGTGCATGTATGTATGTGCTGCGGGGGTAAGAGGAAGAGCAAAAATCGAAAGACCACTGTCCCAGCCAATCAGGAAAGAGTTTAAGATGTAGGCCCCACGATGATTTCATTGGTAGCCTATCAGGGTTGCCTAGCTTGACTGTGATTCTAAGGAGGGGATGGCTGCTCCTTGTCCCTGTGTCAGATGGTAGGAGTCTGAGAAGAAAGGAGCTCTTTTGGCTCTTTTTAATTTTGTATTTGATAGCAAGACTCCACTTTATAAAATAAACTGATATAAGAAAGAATTCTTCTTAGTTCAAGTCATTCACTGAACCCAGGGCCTACTCCCCTGTAGTTGCCCTTCTGGGTCATTTCTTGTCAGGACTGTTGAATTTTCTTATATGATCCTTGCTGAGAGCTGGCATAGTTTTGGCATGTTGTAGATGTTCTACAAATAGGATGAATGAATCAGTGTCCTACAAGTGGCCAAGTTGGATGGCAACTAAAAGAGGATGATAAGAATGTAGGATGTTTCTTGTGATATTTCAAACTCCACCTTCTGGCTTGTTCCAGCTTGCCACAGACTACCAGCAAGGCATTTCCACTTCCTTTGTCTTCCCTCACTGGCTAGGAGAGAGAGGAGGAGAGGCATGAGGAAGTGAGCAGGCTGTGATATTGAGGCACATGGTCCACTGGTGAATGCCAGCTTTAACTGCCTGGATTGTTTTTTGGTACTGGAGGTAGATCCCAGGACACCGAGTACGCTAGGTGAACACTCTACCACTGAGATGCACCAGTCCAAAGAGGATGTTTCCATCACTGAGTGCTTATTTGGAAGCAGAAACACCAGCCTAGAACCCCGTAAATAGTTTCAGCTGAACACCTTGTCGTACCACACAGAGGGCCCAGGAAGCGTATCCACTGGAAGTTTGAAAGCTGAAAAATAAAAACTCAAAAGTGCTTTAATTATAAAATAAAGAGCTGAAACACTTTTATTTTAATCTACTTCTAGTCACTTTTATTTCACATCTTCATTGTCCCTCTCTGTAGCCCCACTGTCTGACAGAAAGTAATGTTTTTCCTGGTTTCCAAGCCCTTTTGGATTTTGTCATTAGCAGGGAGTAAAATCCCTTTGCTTCCAGGCTAGGGAATGTGTGCTGTATAAAAATCCACTCGTAATGATTTCAGACAGGTAGGCCCTCATGACTAGGGAAGGGTTGTAACTGAGCAGCTTTATCTTTTGCGTTTGGAAAAGTCCACCCCAAATCACTTTTAAATCGTTACACCACAGAGAAATACACTCATACCACTATCCATGCTTTACATTATTTCGACTTGGAGGTCTTACTATGTTGCCCAAGCTGGTCTTGAACTCCTAGGTTCAAGCAGTCCTTCCACCTCAGCCTCCCAAGCAGCTGGGACCACAGGCATACACCACTGTGCCTGACAGCCATGCATTCTTTTCAAAATATAAGCGATAAAACATTACAGATAAAGCTGAAATCCTCCCATTCTTATTCCTAGCCCCATTCCCTCTCCCCTTTCCCAAGGATGTATTTTCATATACGTGCATATACACACACACGTGCACACACACGCGCGCATACCCACTCACACTTGCTCTTGAACAATGTTTTGGTTTTGGGGTGTTTCTAAATAGATGGTTAACATATAATACAGATCAATCCACAGCTTGCTTTTTATTTAACATTATGCTTTTGTGATTTATCCTTGTTGGCACATAGTTCTAAACTCTTTCATTTTAACCATGTAGTATCCATTGCCAGAATTTATTCATTCCCCTACGCATGGACATTTAGGTTGAGCTTTTCATATTTACATGTTACACTATGTGTTTTTGTATGTTCACCTGCAAGAGTTTTCTCTAGGATTGCACTTAGAAATGGAATTACCGTGATACCCCAGTTGTCAAACTCAGTTCGTTCCAAATTTTTGTTCAACCACCCAAAAGTTTGAGAACTAAACATATTTTTCCCATAACAAATAATGGAAAGCCAAATAATTGGTGGTGAGGTCCAAAAATTACACTCATAAATTCTTTTTTCCAGGATTTAACAAATTTCACGATGATTTCTTTCTTTAACTCTATCATGGTTCTCAGTTTTCCTCTTAGCTTTACTGCTGGTATCTCTTAACTTTCTTTGGATCCAAAGTTGTATTTTATGCAAATAGAGCACCAAAAAAACTTCAGTGAGGGGCATTTTAATGTAGTGCTTAGACTGAAGGTCACTGCTTTGTGTCTGCGACAAGATGTGGTGCGTGGCTCACATTTAACACGTACAGGGTTTTTCTCAATTTGAGTATTGTTATGAACACCAAGAAGATTTTTTTGAACTTTGCTATTTGAGTAGTGGGAATCAAGTTTGGAGCCACTGCACAACTTAGGACTCCAGTTTTACTAAGGTACTATAAAGTGACCCTACAAATTTGTTTCTCCCAGACATAAATGAGAGCCCCTATCTCCATACATCCTCACCATAACCTGATATTATCAGACTTTTTGATCTTTGCTAATCTATTGGATGAGAAATAATACTTGTTGTTTTTGTTGTTGTTGTTGTTGTTGTTGTATTGAGAATCGAACTCACAACCTTGCACTTGCCAGGCAGGCGCTGTACCACTGAGCTATACCCCAGGTGCTTGTTATTGTTTTTGTCTGTCTTTTTTTCTTAAAAAAAAAAAAGAAAACTAATAAGACAGCATCATCTCTTACAATTATTGTTACAAAGGAGAATTCCGTAGACCAGCTAAATTTGAGCAAAGAAACATGATTCACAAATCAGACAGTTCTGAGAATCAAGCAGTTTCAGAGAACTTCTACTAACATCATGATTAAGCAGTATTTATAGGAAAGCAGAAGTGAGGCACAGAAAGTAACTTAAAGAGCTATAGTCTAGTCAGCTAGTCAAATGGTGACAGTTTAATTAGTAAGTTGCTTGTAGCCTTATCAGTTAACTGGCTGCAGGGCCTTCTGCAGTGAGCAAAATGTGATTAAACTATATTGGTTCAGTCTAAATCCAGGAGCTCCCACAAAATGTTATTTAACATTATTAAACCATTGTATTTTTAAAACAGTTTCTGAGATGCTCAAAGCCATCATGTCAAGAAGTTCCAGTCCTAAGTTTGGACACGACTGAAAGAGTGCACTCCAATTTGGTACTTGCCAAATACTTCTGTGCATTTGTATCCCACAGGCAAGCTAGGTTTGACAGCTATGCAGATAACAGGGGTAAATGTCTAATATGGGAAGGATTTAGACAGGATATAAATAAGCAGTTTGGGGAGCTTTTCCTTATAGTCAATTATCATTATATAAACATGGTAGGATTTAATGCTTTGTTCATTAATAGAGCACAATAGTAATTTTCACTCTGTAAGACACTTCCAGATGCTGGAAATAATTTGCAAAGTTGTGTACAGCACCATAGCACAATCCATAGCTGATTGCTTTGGGCTTTTCCCCTGTTTTCTCTCAGGTTTGTTGTGCTGTTCACAGACGACCTGGGCCGTATTTCCCAGTGGCACTCCATTGTGGCTGGGAGTCTCGCAGGCATGGTTTCCACCATTGTGACATATCCTACGGACCTCATCAAAACCCGGCTGATTGTGCAGAACATGCTCGAGCCATCTTACAGGGGGCTCCTCCAGGCTTTTTCTACCATTTATCAACAGGAAGGGTTCCTGGCCCTTTATCGAGGGGTGTCCCTCACTGTTTTAGGTAAAGTGGAACTTTTCATCTTATTAAGAAAAGGCTGTGTTCTTCGACATATATGAATGTACTGAATACCTTTGTGACCCATTCATCAGTTTTACCAAGGTCAGAGTTGCATGGGTTCAATCCACATAGAGCTGGTTACTCCATAGCCACACACCCACTCTTGTATTTGGGCCAGTCACATCCGCGGGCAGGGAGGGAGACAGAGTAGAGGTGACTCAGTGCAAACTGGCAGGAAAGTAGTCTTCAGCACTGCTGCCAGGCTGGGCCAGTCTTTCCTCACTCAATTTGATTGTTCACCACCCTCACTTTCTACCTTCTGTGACCCTTCTGAGTTAAGGGGGATCCCAGATTCCTTGTGGCATTCCAGATCCTTCAGCCGTGGCCCCTGCCAGTCCATCCTGCCTCTTCCTGTCTTGTGCTATGCCTCTACCTGCACTCATGTTCCATCCAGACAAAAACGTGAGTTTCCTAGCAGTCTACTCTCTTAGTACAAGCTATGACTTCTGCATGGACTGCATTTCTACTCTTCTGATATCTGATGAACTCGCTCCTCAAGACCCAGTGCAAAAGATCTCTCTTCTGTCAAGTCCTTCCTGATTTTCCTAGGAAAAGTTGATCCCTCTGGTCTTTATGGAACTATCCTGCTTATGGCAAATATTAGCAATAATACGCTCATTACTTTTCTCTGGCTGTCTCCTGCCCTAAGCATCTCTAGCCTTAGCCTGCTCTTCTTTGTATTCCCAGCATCTGACATAGGACCCAGCACGTAGCGTAAGCTGCCCAAATATTTTTCGTGTGAAGGTAAATGGAAGATTGGTGAGTCATTTTTGGTATGACCTTATCTAAAGATCAGCAGCCTCACTTGTGTTATCCCTTATTTTATATCTCACTTTGAGAAATGTAGTCCTTCTGTAGTCTGAAGATGGCTCCCTAGGTTTCAAGAAGTTAGTGAGAGTGCCACCTACTGCACGTCTCACGCACCCCCTTAATTATATTAGAAAAGTAGGGATGTCCTCACATTGCCCTCTGGGCTGTGACATGACCATGTTAAATGCAAGGTCAGGTAGCCTCCCTGACCAGTTTTCACAAAATTCTTCCTTCTTAAGTGAGAAAGCAGTACTTCCCAGCCCACAAAACTTAATCAAGTGTACCCACTAACTTCTCTTTTATGAAAGTCATTTGGGGGCTGGCAAAAACATACAGAAAATTTAAAAGAATTAGAAACACACCTATCATTCAGGTGCTGCAATCTGAATTTTTGCTCTATCATGTATCTGTCCACCCCTCAGAGCCATCTTCAGTCCATCATTTTAATGGATGATTTCGATGTAAGTTGCAACCACCAGTGCACTTCACCCCCAAACCCTTCAACAATGTGTGCCTGCTTCATTTACTCAAGTTCATTCTTTGTGCATGGTTCTCTTTAATGTACAATTTATATACAGTAAAGTGCACGATCCTTTGATGAACCATTTGATGCATTTTGGCAAATTACTCAACCCCTATCAAACTACAGCCTCAGCATGCCCTGAGAAAGCACTCTGTGCTTCTTGAGGTAGAGCAGTTTCATCAAGCCAAGCCCTTCCTGTTTACTATGATCCAGTTCCCGCAGACCTCACGTTCTCCTGTTCTTTTTCCAGTGGTTTCCCAAGATACTAGCTTCTTCCTGCCCTTGGTTTGCAGGTGCTCTCCCCTTCTCTGCTGGTTCCCTGCTGGTTTACATGAACCTGGAGAAAATATGGAATGGACCCCGAGAGCGGTTCTCCCTCCTGCAGAACTTTGCCAATGTGTGCCTGGCTGCTGCTGTGACCCAGACCCTCTCCTTTCCCTTTGACACTGTGAAGAGAAAAATGCAGGTGAGGAGTGACAGCAGCCAGTGGGCGGTGTCTAGAAGTGTCTGTGGGTGGGTAACAGCAGCACAGAAAGCAAACCCTGAGTGATACCAGGTTTCCATGGGCCTCATGACTGAGCAAATGCCATGCGAATCCCACTCTGTGTGTGGCATTTCTGCTGGCTGCTAACCTCAGGACTGTTGGCTGGAGCCCAAGCAGCTATCTCATCTCATACTCCATTCTTGGTCCTTTATGAAGCTCCCAATAAGGCCTCCTCTTCTGTCCTCCTTATCTTAACCTAGAATAAACTGCTTTATTTTTCAGTACTAGGGATTGACGCCCCCTCCCCCCGCCTTTGCACTGAATAATGAACATCCCCAATTCTGTTTGTTTGTTTGTTTGTTTGTTTTGAGATTAAATTCTCACTACCTCACTTATTTACCCAGGCTGGGCTCATCAATCCTCTGCCTCAGGCTCCCATCATGCTGGGATTATAGGTGTGTGCCACCACACCCAGTTTAAAATAAACCAATTTTTTTTATTTAAGGAGAAAAAGAAAAAAAAATAGAAAAAGGGTACAAGTTATACAGAACTTTAGAAAACATAAACAGTAGGAAATCACTAGTTAATAAATTACATATTGTTATCTTAGAAACAGTTGTTCAAGTTACAAAATTAGAGCATATAAGGTGGACTTTCAAACAATGAGACTAGAAACAGTTTTGTTCAATGATCCAACAAAACTTAGTAATATGGTTATCTATCTTATACACTTAAATATATATGCAGTTATATTCTTTAGAGCACTTTCTTTTCCTTTCTTTTGTACAATGACAATTACACACTTTGGGTTTTATTACTCCCACAGTTCTTATTACTTTTTTTGGAAGACAGTAACACCAAATGTGACATAACAGAACAGAGTCAGTCAAATCAAAAGGATGGACATAATAGATAATGTTAAAACAAAATACTAGGTGATCAACAATGGTTACCATAATGCCTCTTGTTATCTTAAAAAGAATTGCCTATATCGTCAGTTATAATAAAATTGAACAAAACAGTAAAGAATAAAACCAAAACATTGGGGACATTACAAGACTTTAAAAGAATAATAGTCAACCGGGATGGGCGTCATAATGAATCTTACTGTCTTCACAGTTTTGCCTATACTTTCAAACTTGGTACTATCAAGCAAAGCAGAATAGAGGAAAATCAGTCAAAGCAAGATGGTGAGAGCAATACAGGGTTTCAAATCAAGTTAATAGGAAATCAAAGTGGGTTACTATAATGTATCCTGCTTTTTTTTATTTTTCCCTTAATTAAAAAGTTAAAAACAAAAAGTAAATAATTTTTAAAAAAGGAGATTGAGATAAAAGAGGGCATAACAACAAACCAGTGCAGGTCAAAGCGTAACCATTTAAGCAAAATAGTGTTTCACCACAAGATATCCCAACATAAAAGTAGTTATCATAGTGTCTCTTCCCTTAAAATCTTTGGGTATAACTTCATATACTGCAGCACCAAACATATCAAGACAATGTAAAACTGTTCAAGAGAATGACAGTATTATAGGGTATTTAGAATCAACTAACAGAAAATGAGCAATGGTTTCTGTATAATCTCCTTGTCTATAAAAGTTTTTATTTATATTATCACATATAATAAAATCCAATAAGATACAACAGGTTAAAACAGATGGAGACAGAAGAACAAAAGCTTGATGGGACTTCAAAACAAGAGGATATTAAATCAGCACTACCTATTACGATGTCTTGTTTTCTCCAATATAGCTGTTCTTACCATCCAACATTCTCTGCCTCATTTCTGTTGAGATCTTTTTCTGTCATTAGTTGTCAGTTTGTCTTCTTCATTTTGCTTTCTGCTCCATTCATTGTGGCCTCTCTGCCACTGTTTCTGGAGTCTTGGAATTTTTCATTTTTAGAATATGCTGCAGTATTCCTGTAGAGTTGAATTGGTGGTTGCAAATTCCCCTAGTTCCTCTTTATCCTGGAAGCACCTTGTTTTTCCATCAATTTCTAGGGACAGTTGTGCAAGATATATCAATCTTGGCTGGAGGTTGTTATCTTTCAAAGCTTGAATTATTTCCCCCCCCCACGCTCTTCGTGATTTGATGGTTTGTGCCGAGAAGTCTGCTGTAGTTCTGATGGGTGTTCCCTTGTAAGTGATCTGTTTCTTGTCTCTGATGGCTTTTAATATTCTGTTCTTATATTGGATTTCTGGAATTTTGATTATTATATGCCTGGGTGTAGCTCTGTTTGAGTTGTAGGTGGCTGGGGTCCTGTATGTCTCATGCATCTGAGTATCTTTACCTTTTGCTAAATTAGGGAAATTCTCTCGGATTATTTCTGTGAATAGCTTTTGTAGTCCATTTGTTTGTGTGCCTACTTCTTTTATGTTCTTAAGTTATAGATCCTCTTATCATCTTCTAGCCTTTGTATTATTTGTTTGTTTTCTTGTTATTTTTAAGAAGTTTTTCATTTCATGCTCCCATATTACAAATCTGCCCTCCAATTCAGATAATCTATCCTTAGTTTCTTTCAAGCTGTTATGCCAGCTTTCGATAGAGTTTTTAGTTTCCTGGTAATCTCTTTGAACCTGCTTCATGTATTCTATGTTTTCTCTATTTTCTCCATCAAACAATTCTCCCCTCTTTTTCTGTTCTTCCATTCCACCATCTGTTTTTTCTTGGGCAGTGCTTAGCATTTCTCTCACTATTCTACTTGTATCTTGCTTAGGTCGTTAATAACTTCATTTTTGAACTCATCTATGAGGCTCTGGAGATATCCCTTTATGTCTATTGGTGTCGTGTCTGATATTGCTTGTTTTCTGTCTTCCTTTGCATTTATTCTCAGGATTGGGGACTGAGGACCCTTTCTTGTTGCTTTCTCTTCCCATACTTTTTGTTCCTTCCATACAAGCGAATGTAGGAGGCCCAATTTTTTCTCTTTGTCGGTTACAGTTTATTTGAATTGCACCGGCTAAGTGTTCCTGCCCACTGCAGTGTACTAGGGAGACACAGACCTCGGCAGCCTCTGCTGGGCCTGCCCCTCCAGGTCAACCTACTGAAGGCTTCACCGCTAGGGTACACCTCCAGGCACTGGGACCTGGTTTGGGGTAGCCTACTGGGTCTTAGTCAATGGCGTCATGCAGGCCAGGCACTCCCCACCAATCCCACTTGAGAGGGGAATATGTGGCTAATGTCACTGCAGCCTCCTACTGTATGAAAGGGTCCCCGTTCTGTTCACTCACCGCAAGTTGATGTAGAGCTCACTGCTAGTCCCACTCTCAACTCAGTTTGCATATTCCCACTCTCAGAGCTTTTGCGCATCTCTCTCCCTGCACAGCAGATTTGGATGCAGCAGCAGGAAATTCAAATTGTGGCTTCCAGTGGTGCGGGTTCTAGCTTCTGTGCTGAGATTTTATCTGGTCCTGTTATAGCACCAGGATTGGATTTCCAGTTGGTTTCTCTTAGTTTAGTTCATTCCTGGGTTAGCAGGGTGTATCTCCCCTTGCTTAGGACTCCTCATACCACACCATTCCTGGATTTTAAGTGGAGTATCTCAGAGAGCCTCCATAGGTGCTGCTGTCTATCCACCATGTTCTCCCGCAAAATAAACCAATTTTGATCAAAGAAAAATTAGACTCATTCAAATGAAGCGTGGGGCATGCCACCACATATGTATAATAGTAGCCGATTCAAAATGCAAACAGAAAAAAAAATCCAAACAGGACTGAGGCTCTGTGTCTTTCCTTAAACCCATTCACTGCCTTGGAATCTATTCCACATGGCTTGTGTGGCTCCATCACCTCTTCCAGGCAAATCCTGATTTATACAATCACATAGTCCTGAACTGCTGTATGGAAATTAATTTGGGCCCAGTTGACTGTATTGTAAATGATTAGTCCCACTTGTTTGTTTTTGTACAAGATTCTGACTTGTCCATCTGCTTTCTCAATGTCCTCCCTACTTCTGCTTCCCTTTCATACTATTCTTGCCTGGTCTGGGCCACTGCTTAGCTCAGCACTGAAAACCCTAGAGATACTCACTTATCATACAACTATCTTTACACTGTGCCACTCCAACTAATTGTCACATTGTTATTATGTAATGTAGGTGCAAATTTAGAAAAGCCTTTGTGTGTGCTCACTTATATAGAACATTATTTGTGATTTTTAAAAGTAATGCATGCGTATTTTTAAAATGGTTAGTTGTGCTGGGTGCATTGGTGTACACCTGTAACCACAGCTAGTCAGGAGGCTGAGGAGGGTAGATTGCAAGTTCTAGGCCAGCCTGGGAAACCTAGCAAGCTCAAGGATGAAATAAAATTTAAAATAAAATAGACCTGGAACGAGCTCAGTGGAATAGCACTTGCTCAGCATGTACAAAGCCCTGGGTTTAATCCGTAATACTGCAAAATATAAAATAGAATGGCTAATTCTGTGTTTGACTACAATAAAAAGTAATACACATAGACTGTAGAAAATTTGGGAAATACATAAAAGTACAAAAAAGGAAAATAATTACCCATAAGCCCAATACCCATAGATTATGATTAACTTTCTTTTACATGTGTTCATAAGTGTATGTATATATAAGCATATATATGTATATATAAGATTATTTTTATAAAATTGTGTTCAGAATGCTTTTTTAAACTTATATAAAGAGTATTGCTCCAGGCCATTAAATTTGTAATTATCAAATAATATTCTGCCATATGGATGTGCCAGAAATAGTTGATTTCTCATAGTTTGAATATTAAAGCTGCTTCTAATCCATCAGTATTATTGCATTGCAATGAAAACCCTTGAATTTTCTCACATCTATGATGCAACTCATAAGCTGTATCTCTAGAAATTGATGTGTATGTCACAAGACATGCATCGTCATAAGGTGCTTAAGGAAATCTGCTTTCCAGAAATGTATATTTTATATTTGCACAGCAGAAAGGGAGACTGGTTCATCTGAACTCTCATCAACATTAACATTATTGAGGCATCCCTAAGCTAATACTACCTAAAAAGGGGTATCATACTGTTCTAACTTGAACTTTATTTTTTATAAGCAAGATTGCATGTTTTTCATACATATCAGATGGCCTTTTGTGTTTCTACCTTTCTTTCACCTCCCCCCCCCCAGCGCGTGATGCTGGGTATTGAAACCACCCCACCCCCACCCAGGGCCTCATGCAAGCTAGGCAGGTGCTCTGCCACTGAGCTACACTCCCAACTCTTTGTATTTCTTTATAAATTTTCTACCTCTGCCTTTTTGCCTGTTTTGAACTTTTTTCTTCTTACTTCTAAGGAGTCTTTATATATAAAAGGGGTTAGCCTTTTGTTATACAACTATATATTGCACATATTTTTCCCAGTTTGACTTTTGGCTTCTAATGCTGTTTATATGTTATTACTGTTGTTTTGTTGTATGTATTTTTAAAATTTTATGAGATTGTATCTTATTGTGTTTTTGTTTCCTTGTTTTTCTGCTTAAAAGGCCTGCCTCACCTCACAATCTAATGACTATTCACTTAATGTACTTTAACTATTGTAGTTACAATTTTTATACTTAACACTTTAATTCATTTAAAATTTACCTGGTACATGATAGGAAGCAATGACTAGCTTTTAAAAATATGGTTTACCAATTAATTAAGCACCAGTTTTAATATGTCCTTTTATCACTACTTTGTGATGTTACTTTTAACACATACTATTTGTATAATTTTTTTAGGGTCTCTACCTCTGGGCCCGGCTTTCTGTTCTATTGTCTATCAGTTTGTTCTTGTGCCAGCACCACACTATTTCAGTCTCTGTAGCTTTATAATGACCTTTAATTCTCATTGCTTTTCTTTGCAACATTTCTTTGATTATTCTCAGCCATTTATTCTTCCTAGGAGGCCAGGGATTTAGCTTAGCAGCATAAGCACCTGCCTAGCAAGCGTGAGAGTGAGAATTCAATCCCTGGTACCAATCCTGATGCACTTTAGAATGACTTGTGTTTAGGATTGGAATTATATTAAACTAGAAACTTAGAATAATTTATTAAGATACGTTTTTTTGAGTATTTTTTAGACAGGGTCCCCCTGTGTGGTCCAGACCAGGCTTGAATCTGCTGTGTACCCCAGGCTAGCTTCAAATTGAAAGATAGTCTTTATTTTCAGAATCTCTCCTTTTGTTTCAAATCTTCTTTCTTTGGTTTTAACCATATGAAATTGCCAATGTCTCATGGCAATTTAATGTTTCAGCCCTTAAGAAAAAAATGTTTTCTTTATATGGTATTAATGTTCTTTAAAAAAAAAAGTGACTTTTTTATAATGGCGGGGATGGAACCCAGGACCTTTGACATGCTACACAGACTCTACCATTAAGCTACATTCCACATTCCCAAAAGATACTTGCTTTTTAAAACTAGCTAAGGAGAGGTAGGGTGTGAAGGAGATATGATACACCATAAACTTTTACTTACTTTTAAAAACTATCCTGGCCCTGAGACTCTCAAACTGCCAGGGGCATCTCTCCAGAACTTTCTGCTATCTCTTGTAATGCAGTGTTCTTTATGCATCGTTCCACTTGGGGTGAGGGTAGGTCTCATTAGGAGAAAGGGTTTCTGATGAAGTCGAATAACATCTAAATGTGAGGTTAAGTGGTTTCAATATTTTCCATAAACCTTTGCATGCATTTCTTTTTCTGGTAGCTAAAACAATCTCCTCCTCTGGGAGACCATAGCCGACACTAAGTTCTATGTTAGAGTATGTCCTTACCACAACAATCTGCTGTAAACTAGAGTAGGACACACTGGAAGGAGGTATTCGGGGCTATCGTAGTCAACTTTTCCTTTGTGTAAGAACCTTCTTGATAATATATACATAGAGATTCTAGAAGCTTTCAAGTAGATGCAAAGTCATTATGATTGAAAAGGAAAAATCCAAAGATGTAGTTGTGTTGTTTGTACAAAATAGGGTCAGCATCTAATTATGAATAACATCATAAATGTCCCAAAAATATAGGAAATGAATTCATATGGTTTTAGTAAGACTGTTGTTTTTCATGGGTTAATAAATATAACCCATAGCTACACAATAAATATAACCCATGATTATATAATATAAACTTATCTCCTTCTGTACTCTACCCCCCAAGACAAAAACTATGGGCTTTTACATACAAATGCGGCATTTCCTTCTCTGGCCATTAGATGTCGCAGCAGTAAACAGTACAGTCAGGGTACTGCAGCCAGCAGCTCTGTGATCTTCAGTTACAAACCTCATAATCCCTGCTGGAAATCCACCTTCAGTTTGGAAGATTGGGAGCCTAGAGACATCAGACAAACGCTAAAACTGTTGTTTTTCTTGCAAAGCACACAATCCAAATTCACCAAGGAGAGGGAGCTTAAAGAACCGTCTCCCCTGCCACTGAAGCAGGCAGGTTTTGCCTGCAGAATTGGTAACAAGGGACCTTTGCCAGGAGACCAGGCTGCTGTGACTTGAACACACTTAATGGTAACATTTGCATTCCACTGGCTTTCCCCACTGCACCGCCCAACACGAAGCTAATCAATAGCAGGTGTCTGGTAGAAAACCAACTGGAAAACCAACTGGGAATTTTTCTCAAACCCTCTCCCCAGACTCGCTCCTTTGTCTGAATGACTCATTCTCCTAATATGCTTTTATCCAGACTCATAGACACATACACACACACAAACACACACACACACACACACACACACACACATACACACACACACTCACATGAAAGCAGTCTGCCCATTGAGTGCCACATCAGGTTGGAACCCTTCTGAACATTAATGATAATAATCAGAAATCTTGTTTAACCACCTGAGCCCTTCCTTCACCAGGCTTATACTCATTTTATTTCTTTTTTTTTTTTCTTTCTGTTGCCTTGGCTCCTGGCTGGCATGCTAGAGAATGGAGAGGTAAATACATTATGCATGTGCATGTTTTAATAGAACATTTCTGGTGGGAAGGGGGGGCTCTCCCATGTGGACAAAGGGAGTGAGATGCCCCACCTGGTGTGCTTTCAGGGGCTCCAACATTACCCCATCTGAAACGCCCTTCTGCCCACTTCCGTATAGCCTGGCTCTTTTATCTGACCTCCTACAGCTCGCTCAGGTCCTGGGCCAGAAGGGACTGGTAGCACATAGTGTACTGAGAAAACAAGTAGGAAAGGGAAAATACTGACAGATTAGTTTATGTGATAAATCTGTGGGCCCCTAATCAGGACCAGGGAGTCCTGAGAAAATGGTTCTCTGGACAGGCGCATACAAAGAAGAGGGGATGACAGGCTGGGGAACACTGCCCTGAAAATCCAGGGAGGAGCTTGAGAACATGGGAGCCCTGGTGCCTGTAGGCCTTCTGAAGGAGTAAGGAGGGAGGCACCAGGCTCAAGCATGGCCCCCCAGGAGTTTGCCTGACACCTTTCCCTCTTGCCCATACTGAGTATCTCCATTTCATCAAATAGGAAACCAAGTGTCAGCCTGTTGCTTTATATCTCAGTGAATTTTGACCCCACCATAGCTCATAAGGTAAGCAGGATTGGCCCAGGTCAGCATTTGAAGTGAAAGCACATAAGATGAAGGACAAAGGTGGTATCTGAGTGGCACAGCTGACTGAGCAGAACACACATGGCCAGTGAATAAACAGAGGTCCCAGTCTGCTCAACTGGAATCCAGACTTGACCCAGACGGCTGCCACCTTGAGCTGTCTTTGCCGAATTGTGCATGGCAGCTTCATTCATTCCCTCCCTGAATACTCATCCCCTCTCAAAGCTTCTCATGATCAAATCTCTGTCTTCAGCTCCGATCTCCCTTCTGAACCTTGGTCCCACATTTTTCACAGCCTGCTGAGCATTGCCATCTGGCCATCACAGCTCCACTGCCACCTCTAATTTAATATTTATCAGACCGACCGCTCCTTGCACTAAAACTCTTCCTCAAATTCTCCATTTCAGTGCCATCATTTTTCTGGTTACCCTGGCTGGAAATCCTGAGATTAGGTTTGACTCTTGGCCTTCCCACTCATCTAGTCAACCTCAAGCCTGCTTTCCTCTCCATTCCTAACTGTCCCACACTAGTCTTTTTGTTACTACCCTCTACCCAATCCAGGGCCTTATTAACTCCTGTCTATGTGATTTACAGTAATCCTTTAATTGGTCTCCAGGATTCTAAAAATGATCATAAGCATTAAATACTAGTATGTAACAGACACTGTGTTGTCACTGTTTTGTTTAATCCTTGCAAGATGGGCATGGTTATCCCCAAGCCCATTGACAGATGAGAAAACTGAGGCACTGAAAGGTTCTGTAGCCTGCCAGCTCACCACTCAGTAACTGAGCTGGGATAGAAACCCACATAACCTGTCTTCAGGGCCAAGATTCATTTCAGTGCTTTCAGCCCAGCCATAGGCTTTTCTGCTGAACTCACTTTCTTAAAGTCTGTGTTGTGTCCTCCTTTAATGCCCTCAGAGAACACCAAAGGCAAAACCTCTGGGCTTGGCATGTTTTTCTTTACCAATTTTGCTATCCTCATTACACAGAGGCCTTTTATACCTGAATTTGCTACATCAGATGCCTGTTGGAACTTGCAAGTGACCTGGAAAGGAGAATGGGAAAACCCAGAGAACACATCCTCATCCCTTAAAGAACAAGACTTGAAATGCTTTCTGAGCCATCATAGCTTTTGAAAGCATTCTGGAGAACTGAACTTTACAATATGTGATTAGCATTTAAATATGGATAGCAGAAAGGAATAAACTGAGCCAGTGGAGGCTGTGGCAGCTTGCAAGCTCCTCTTCTCCAAAGGATGGATGCCTTTTAAAAATGCAGACCCAGTTTTCAGGGGAGCCTGAAATCCAAAATTTATGTAAAATCTCCCCCTTTTTCAGTGTTGCAAATAAAAATTGAGTACTGATTGGGCTAAATAAAGCATGCCTTTTTATGACCTGTACTGTATTCAAGCCTCCAGTGCCAGTGAAAGGACTTTCCCCCTGCCCCTCCCCCAGCCCTGAAGAGTGCTCCTGTTTTACATTCCAGTCACTGCGCCTTTGTTCCTGTGGCCATCTCTGCCTCCAAATGTCAAATCTTGCTGGGCTCCTTAAAGGTTCAGCTGAGTTTGCCTCATGCAGGCCATCCCTCCAGATCTACTGTAGCATGATTTATTGCTTTGTTTGACAAGTGTGGCGGCTTTTTCCACCCCTAAAACAGCCATCTTATTGTGATGGCTGAAAGCAGACATTTGGCCTTTGTATCACAGTGGGGCTGCCCCAGACCACTGCCAAGGGGTTTCTGGGGCGAGAGAAGCTAATTAACAGCTGCTCTTTCCACAACTTGTAGATGCTAGGCTTTCACTGACCCACCTCTGAGCCCAGCGGCATGGTTCTTTTGTTCCAAGACCCTTGTGGATGAATGTCTCCTTTTACCGATGCCATTTGCCAGCCAGTGTCTGTCGCATTTCTCTCCATGCCTCCACCTTTTCCATACTCAGCGCACATGGCCCTCTTTTCCCTATCAGAGCACCTCCTCATATCTTCTGTCACCTCCCCAAGCAGTAGTCTTCCCCCTTCTCCATGTCCTTACCTCAGTCCTGCTGCAGGTTGAGCATCCCTTATCGAAAAAGCTGAAATCTTTGGAATGGATTGAAGGTCAAAAAAAAAAAAAAGAAAAGAAAAAGAAAAATCTGAAATCTAAAATGCCTCAAAATCTGAAACTTTCTAAGCACCACAGTGATACCAAAGGTGAGAAATTCCACACCTGACCTTAGGTGATGGGTGGCAGTCACAATGCAGGCACACTTAAAAGCACTGCATAAAAAGGATTCTATGCTATGTATGTAAATTATATAGGAAACATAAATTACATGTTTAGACTTGGGTCCCATCCCCCAAGATATCTCATTATACACATATAGATATTCCAAATTAAAAAAAAAAAACCCGAACACTTAAAGTTCCAAGCATTTCAAAGGGATCCTCAACTTGTATAACTCTCTTATGGTTCGTATCACACACACACACACACACACACACATATGGAATTGAATTCAGGACCTTCACTTACCAGGCAGACACTTATGCTGTATCCCCGGCCTCTATTATACCTTTTTGACCCCTATTATATCTTTTCGTGTCCCTTACTTTCTCTAAATTGCAAGCATTTTACCTATGGGAAGTGTGTGTCACACATTTGTATATCCCTACAACACTTAGTCTCACATAGCAGGCACTGAATACTCATTTAAAAATGAATGAAGTGCAGGACAGCCTTGGGAAATTTCATGATAAGCACAACATTGAACCCTCACTGCTGCTGAGTGGGCCCTAGTCTGCGTGGTTAGATGCTATTGAAGCAGGAGGTAAGCACACCCAAGCCCGCCCCTCCCAGCCGAAGGAGACATCTGCTTGTGCCCTGCCTAAAACTGCATCTGTGCTGCAGTCCCCAAATGCACAATCTTCCATGTCCAACTTTAGCAGTCAGGATGTGCACAGCTCAGGGCAACAGCTGTAACCACTTCAAGCCAGCAGATTAAGGACCTTCACGTTTTTGTTTACACTTCTTAGGGCCAGCCCACTGCTACGTTGTATAGTATCTGGAAGTGTTTGACAAATCACAAAACTATCTAATTTATATTTTTAGTTGATTGCTTTTACTACATGTGACCAGGTCTAAATGAATGTGTGTAAATCTGTTCTTGGGTAAACATGAGGAAAAACTACATTAGGAGCCGCAGTGACAGAAACATCTGTTGCTGCAGGATTAGGAAATTGTAACCACGTAACCAGGCATGGTAGTACACTCCTGGAATCCCAGCACTCTGGAAGGCTAAGGCAAGGAAGATTACAAGCTTTAGGCCAGCCTTAGCCATTTAGCTATTTAGGGAGACCTTGCATCCATAAAAACATTTCATAAAAAGGCTGAGGATGTATAGCGCAATACAAAAGCCTTGGGTTCATTCCTTAGTACCCCCCCAAAAAAAAAATTGTAACTATAGAACAGTAACTATAGTAACCATTTATTGGTCAGGTAATGTGTACAAGGCAGTTTCTTAACCCATTCAATCCTATTGCTGCTGCAAAATAAGTACCAATGTTATTTCTCTTTCACAGAGAAAAGTTAGTCACTTAGCCCTGCGTGGTGTAGCTTTGATTTGAACCTGGGTCTCTCCTTCCTTAAACTCTTTTATCCCCTCCAACAACAGAGGCTTGTTCCTGAATAAGTAACTGGTTCACTAACTTTGCCCCAGGTGGGAGTAAAGCGGAAGTTGACCCTTGAGGGGTGGGAGCTGCAGCATCGGTGCAAGAGGAGCTGAGAGAAATAACAATGTGCATGCTCGAAACTGACAGGCTGCTTCCCAATTCATGAAGGACATGGTCTTGCTGTGTCCTCACAAAAGCAAGGGTCCAGGCAGCTCCCTGGGGACTTATAAGGCCACTACTCCCATTCATTTAAGACTCTGCTCTTGTGACCTAATCATCTCTCAGTGGCCCCACCCACTGAGACCATCACATCGGGTTGCAACTGCAATGTAGAAGTTTGGGGAGACAGAAATGTTTCAGACTATAGCAATCCTGGCTTTGGCCAGGGAACAGTTAACGCAAATTAGAGGAGAAGAAAACAGGAAAACTGGGCCGTCCTGGGGCTCAATTGATAACAAGAGGCAGCCTTATTGGCAGCTTTGACTTGAAGATCGTGATAGGAAAGGCAAGCCATAGGCATAGACTGCTCAGTGGCCACAGACTCTTTGACCAGCCACCAACTGACCACAGCCACTCTAAGGGTTGGGAAGAAGGCCAGAATGGGAGTGGAGCAAGGACAGACGTCCAGGAGGGAAAGAGAAACTGCTTTCATGGCCCCACTGGGAGATATGATAGCTGAGTTGAGGGTTTCCGCCTAGCTCAGCCTCTCCTGGGTGGCAGAGCATCTAGTCTCAGTAGGAATGGAGCTATTTTCCTAACAGAGCACGCTTACCTGCCCGGCATGGCAAACAGTGGCGGGCGCTGAGTGAGACGACAAACTCACCTCTGTGGCGGTTTTGGTTTTTTGCTGTCATCTTGCTTTGAGGGCTGGTCACTTGGAGGACTAACTTCTGCCTAGGTGAGCAGCACTGCCTTGGCACTTAGCAAAACAGATGCTTTCCAAATCCAGGTAGATGTCTGACATCCCTTAGGCAAGGTCACTTCTTAGGGCATTGAGATTAAAGTGAATTGAAAGGAAACCGCTCCCCCTTTGTTTTTTGTTCAAAGGTGTACTGTGCCCTAAATACTTTAGGGATCGCAGTTGTTGATCTCAGAAACAAGACTGTCCCTAGAGGGCAGGCCGAAGGGAGTAGGGAGGAGCTTTCCAATTCCACTAAAGCTAAAATCTTACTCTGCCCTTTTCTCCTGACCTGAGCTCACTTATTCCCTTAAAGACATAAAGATCTGGGAGCCTGCAGCAACTCCAACTTACCAGTAACAGCTGCTAAGACAGGATCTTCTACCCACCTTCCTCCCCCAGAGTGGGAGACAGGGAAACAGACAGGGAAAAGAGGTTCCAGGAAATAGCTGTGGTCCACCAGGAAAGCCTAGAGCTACCTATGATCGTGCATATGACCCCTTGCTGCTGAGGGGCAAATATGGAGACTCCAGTTTGCTGACCTCCCCACTGGCCTACAACCAACACTGGAGTTCCCATCTTTTCCCCACATAACTGTCAGTGACTTGTTTTTGATAGCTGTGTTCACCTTGAGTCTCTAATGAGCCCACTAGCTCAGAGAGTCCTAGTACAAGCTTTGGATCCCAGCCTGCCCCTTAGTTCTGCGTGAACTTTGGTCTGCACCTGATCTTCCTCATCTAAAACATGTGGACGAGAGTTGCACCTATCTCATATCTGTAGAAGAGACTGAATTAGGTTATTGCAAATCCAGAACCAGGCATGTAATCAGTGCTATTTTTATTGTGCTGGGAGCATCTCTTTAGAACCTGTGCATAGCATACAAAGCCTGGGTTAGATCTATAAAGCCAATCCAAGTGTTTCTGCATTCCCCTGATTACTGTACACACAGATGAGCCAGGATCATAAAACCTCAGTAGACCCTCGCACTCTAGAGCTAATGAGCAGGGATGGTAGGACAGTTAATTATTCTTCATTTGGTGAGTTTAATACACATTTACTGAGAGGCCACCATGCACAAATCCTGCCTAAATCTGTGTGTTCTCGGCCTTCTGAAAATTCATCTCCCAAATCTTTTTCTTTACCCGTCCTGTAATCTCACCCTTAGACAAGATGACACTCTCAAAGTTGGCTTTTCTAAAACTTGATCAGTGATTGCTACTCATGGAGTTCCCCAGCCTTGGCCTTACCTCAGCATGTTCTGCTCACTTGCATCTCAATTGCCTTCCCTGGATATGCCCAGCTACATGCTCTTGGCCTCCCCACCCCCTGCCCCGTGGCCACACAGGAACTCACTGTCTCTCCTGTCTCTGCCCAAGCAGAATACTAACCTGCTGTCATTTGCTGGCTTCCCCCACAGTGACCACAAGCAATCCCAGTGGCCCATCATCCCCCTGGCCTGCTGCTGACATGCTGAAAGGGCTCAGATACACACATGTTGGGAGCCACTGCCTACACACACTGTGTGAGTGTTCCACTATAGAGCACAGCTTCCCAGCTGTAGGCAGTCCTGGCCATGCCAAGAGGAATATAGGTAATGTGGCCACTAATGGGGCTGTTATTCTCTTACAACATAACATCATTTCATTCATGTGCAGATATATCTGTAATGTGATTTCCTTAAAGTAGGACTGTTTTGGTCAAAGGCTGTGTGTTTTACCTCTTTATAAATACTGTTGAATCATTTTAGTACCTGTGGAAAGAATAATACCAAAACGACGCCTTTGTTGAAAGGCCCCTGTGAAGTTTATATCAGAAACTTTCAACTGCTTTGCTTTGAAGTATTTATTTTTCACTTTCTTCTTACGTAAGTTTGTTTCTTATTTCCTTCAATGTATATTAAGCCTCTCCTGTGTACCTGGCATGTTGGTAGACTTTGAGGATAAAACCATGCTCAGACAGACATTGTCACTGCCCTGATGGGGTAGGAGGGTTTGCTGGCTGCCTGGATTTGTTTACCTGCGCACCATCCAGAGTATGTGAAAAGCCCATAAAACTGGGAAATGAATTTATTCTGCGCTGAAAATTCTATAATTCATCATCTTAGCCAAGTTGTTAGAGTAGCTACCCTGCCCCTCTCAGCACTCTGAAGTACTCTAGTGTATGGACAGGGTATAGCAAAAGTCAGGAAATAGGTGTGTGTAGATTTAGACAGGCGTGGCCCCACCAGAGGACCCAATGTTGAACCCTCCTTAACTTCTACTTTGGTCAGGGGGAACCTGGAGATATAAGTTATCTTTTTAAAAACAATTCTAATTTTTAAAGATTCCATCTAACCTCTTGATTATAGTGATATATATATATATATATATATATATATATATATATATGGAGAGAGAGAGAGAGAGTCAGAGAAATGGGGCTGTGGCAAGGGTGAGGGGAAAACACATGAAAGAAATAATTCTATCATTACAAACCGTGTTGCATGCCATGAAGAAGCACAAGGGTGATCAAAGTTCCTGACCTAGTCTGGGGAGCTCAGACTGCCTTTATTCTGATCAGTAAGAAAGGCTGAGCAAGGCAGAGGAAATGGCAGGTTTAAAGTCATAAAAGCCGAAAGGAGCCTGGAGCCAGGCCAGCAGCAAGGATTGTATGAATTGGAACGGATATTCAAGGTCAGCTGCCTCCAGTCTCCTTGCTTGACACGTGAGGAGACCAAAGTCCAAAGAGGTAGATGACTTAGGCAAGATTACACAGGTAGTGGCAGAGCCAGGCCTGGCTCCCTGGTTTTCTTAGAATCCTGCAGAAGCCAACATGTTCCCCCAGTGCCTTGGTTACTATTTTCATTTCTAAGACAAAATACCTGACATCCAGAGGTAAAAAAGGAAAGGTTTATTTAGCTCAAAGTGTGTAGAGATTTCAGTCCATAATGGACTGGCTCCAAGGCATGGTGGCATGGCAGACAGACATTGAAAAGAAGAGACAGTTCATGCAGGCAGAAAGCAGCAAAGTAAGCGGGGGATCTTAGCAGCTTTTTTCTGCCTCTTTTATATTCCAACTATGCCAAACCAGTCAGTGGACTTGAGTTAGCATTTACACACCCTTAATCCCAGGATCACACTCTTTTAATTTCAGCCACCTCCCAAAAAGCCCTACCTGTGACTGCACGAGTCTTTAGGGGGACATAAAGACACAAGCCATAACACCCAGAGACCTGTGAATATGAACCAGACAGCTACATTTTATAGCTTGGATAGTTGCTTGGCTTTGTGTAAAAGGAGGATTTTAGTTCAGGTGCTGTGACTAACAGTCTGACACATTCTGTTTCTCTTTACTGGTATAATAGATTGGACACATGCAGTCTGTCATTCCAGTCTAACAGGTTGGTTTGGTCTTCAGCATATTCATCTCTTTTCCAAGTGTAGAATAATCATAATGATGTTAACAGTAGTGGTTACTTATTTAGTGCTTGCTTTTCATCAAATACAGGTTTAAGCACCCTGCATTAAATCATTTAATATGGGAAACAATTCTATAACGTAGATGTTAATATTACCCCACTTTTATAGGTGAGGAAATTGGGGCTCAGACAGATCAAGGCATTTGTGAAAGGCCACAGTGCATGACTGCAGGCAATCGGCACCTTCCCCAGGACTCACAGTGCAGTCAGCAGGCCGATGGACGCTGAGCCCTGAGCTGCCTGTGCTGTGGCAGGCACACACTGGCGGGGACTGACTAGCTGCACATCAGAATCACCTAGGCACTTGTACAGATACTGACATCTAGGCCTTGCCCTAGGTCAGTTAAATTGTAACCTCTAGGGCCACAACCCAATCATTGATGGTTTGTAAAAGCTTCCCAGGTTAATTTAATGTGCCACTGAGTGTTGACAAGCACTATTATGCCTAAATGATTCCTTCATCCTTTGGGGATGACCGGCAATCCGTGCTTGCCTTTGTGTTCTAGACACATTCGTAGATGCGTTTATTCATACTCTCTCACAAGTTCTGATCTTTGCATAAAGAATCCATTCAAGCTGGTGTGCTGCACACCTGTAATCCCAGCACTGAGATAGGCTGAAGCAGGAAGATCACAAATTCAAGCCTCACCTGGGCAACTTAGTTAAGACCTCTCTCAAAATAAAGATTTAAAAAAATTAAAAAGACTGGGATATACCTCAGTGGTAGAGCATCTCTGGATTCAACTCCCAATAACAGAAAAAAAATCTGTTCTAGCCAAGTGTGTACGTGCCTATAATCCCAGCTACTTGGGAGGGTGAGACAAGAAAGTTGCAAGTTCTAGGCCAGGCTTAGCAACTGAATAAGACCCAGCCTCAAAATGTAAAAAGGGCTGGAAATGTAACTTAGTAGTAGTGTGCCTCTGGGTTAAATCCCTAGTTTTACCCAAAAAAAGTGTGTTGGGAGAACAGTGCACATTTATGTAGGATCTCATAGCCTACAGGTGATACGTTAGAACCAGTTTGTAGTGGCTCAGAGGACCTGATTGTTGAATTTCAGGAAATCAGGAAGCTGCTGGACCTCACATTTGGTAGCCTAAAATTAGCCAGGGTGGGAATATTTACATCGTTGAACTGAAAAATGCTACAAGTCAACTTTATATCCCCTAAAGAACAAGTTGCTTTATATATACCACCATATTGCCACTCAAGCTTGTAGGCTCCAGTAAGAAATTCAGATTTCCCTCAAAGTTGGATGCAAACTAATTAAATATTATAAGACGATGAATCAAATCATCTGATTTTTTTAAATTACCACAGAGAATTGGCTGGTGAGGCAGAAGGCAAGAAAGCCACTGCGGAAGCTACCACAGTGGTCCACATGAACAAGGATGGTGGCTTAGAGGGTGCATGCAGTAAAAACACTGGGAGAACATTAAGGTCCTGGATTGACCATGGATGACCCTGCATTTATCACAAATTGATTACCATTAAACTGAAAGAAAACACAGGTAGCTTAATTTAATTTTTTTGTTTTAGTTGCAGTAGTAACACCAGATGACAGAATGGTTACTGGCCTCATGACGGGCTTCTGCAGTTTTTACCATAAGCTGGCTAAAGATAAATAGTATTCTTTCCTAGCAGAATAAGGTTACCTTTCTACTCAAACATAATTTCCTCTTTTCAATAGTTCAGTCATAAAAAATATTTCCGTCATGTAGCTGCAAAAAGAACTTGAAAGCTTGAGATCAGGCAGATTCTTTCTAAGGGGAGAGGAATCTTAATATCTGTTTGGCAGCTTTCTTTACTGGTAAAGTAAGAAAGAAAGGCTGAGTGTGAACATTGTTAAGAAAAACAGTAAAGTCAGAATCAACCAAAGCTCCCTGACCATTTTGGAAGCTATTACTGCAGGCCAGGAGACTTGGCCTGTCCATTACATGTTCCAGTTTATATCTTGTGACCTGTGTTTGGTTGTTAACTGTACCTCAAAGGAAAGGCCTAACTCAGAAGTTTCACCTTCACCTTGATAAAGAGCTCGTAATTTTTAAAATATACAACATAGATCCTTCAAGCTAGATTAATAAGGATATGAGTCATTAGTACAATATAAAGAATTATGAAGCCTCATTAATTAACATATCACTAACTTAAAATTCTCATAACCCACAGCTTAGTAAGCAAAGTTACCTTAAACAGCATGATTATGGGAATATTTGAATTCTTTAACATAAAAAGCTGATTTTAAAGCCTACTAAAATACCTGTTTACAACTACTAATGGGCAGCATTGCTGAGCACTTTTGTTTTCATTTTTGGTTTTGGGAGGGTTTTATTTATTTCAGTGCTTGGCTACAACGCAGAACCTCACTAATCCTAGACAAATGCTATATCACTGAGCCACACCCTAGCCCTTCATTGAACACTGACAATGTTCCTGGTGGTCTTCATTGTCTCTTTTAATTTACACAGCAACTCTTAAGAGATAAGTACTATTATCTCCATTTCCAAAATGAGGAAATTGAAGTCAGAGAAGTTAAGGAACTTACTTATGATCAAATAGCATTCAAATGCAGCTTTGTGTTCTGCTAAAACCCATGTGCAGAGAGAATGTTGGTGCACTGTGTAGACTGCTGTGAACCACTCAACTATGCCTGAAAGTAGGGCTTGAAAGTTTCTCCACTAAATTGTCCACCAGTCTAGTTCTAGCCCCATATAATAAAAGAGAATCAGACTTTACTAATTCACACTGACTCCCCCTACACACACCCACTGGTTGGAATTAATGATATTTTACTGTCTGGTTTATTAAATGTCCTATTTATGGGATGCGAGTTACAAGAGAAACTAAAGTCTAACTTAGACAAGATGACCACCATCACTGCACAGCAACAAGAAGTGAGGTGGGCTGTCCTGCAAGGACACATGTTATGTAGCTGTCAGCGCAGTACAGGTTGTAGTTTCAAGCCTTGGAGTCTAGAAGCCAAGGGAATCACTTGGGGCCGGGATCCTGAATGTAGATTCCAGTGGCCTGTGAGGTGAAATATCTGAATTCTAGTCTTGCCTATGCTGCACACTAGCTAGTTACTTCAGTTAAGTCACTCTTCTAAAGGTCATGAGTTTTCATCTGTAAAATAAAGTAACTAGACTGGAGATTTTAAAATCCTTTTCAAATTTGAGTTTGTGCTTTGGGAATTCTTAGTTCTTAAGGCCTAGAGTAATTAAGGCCTTGAAGATCTAGGGCTTAGAAGGGAACAAGAAAGGAGCAGAATCTGGGCATGGTCTCGCATGGCTGTAATCTCAGCACTCTGTGAGGCTGAGGCGGAAGGATGACAAGTTTGAGCCCAGTCTAGGCAACTTAGATCTTAGTGTCTTAGTCATTTTCTTGTCACTGAGCTGCAGTACTTGACATCCACAACTTATGGAAGGAAAGGTTTATTTTGGCTCACGTTTCAGTCTGTAGTCAGCTGGCTACAAGGCAGGATGGCATAGCAGAGGGGCATGGCAGAGGTGAACTGCTCATCACACAGCATCCATAAGCAGATAAAGTCAAAAGGGGAGCCAGGAAGGAAGATCCACCAGGCTACTCCCCCAGTCACCTACCTCCTCTGACTGGAATCCACCTCTCAGCACCACTCTTGGCTATTAACCCATCAGTGCATGATTCCAAGGATGATTATCACGCCCTCATGACTCAATCTAAAAAGCTCCACCTGTGAGTACATGAAGCTTTGGGGGGACATCTAGATATAAACCATTACAATTAACAAGACCCTGTCTCAAAATTTAAGTAAAAAAGTGGGAATGTAGCTCAATGTGGGAAGGCCCTGGGTTCAATTCCTAGTACCACAGAAAAAGACAGAAATGTCAAAGGGACACAGAAGCCCAGCTTGAAGAGATTCCT